TTCCTTGTTACCTTCTGCCAAATACCTTCCCAGCCTCCCTCGCCTTGAAGGTAGTCATGACACATGGTTCTAATGAATAAGACAGAAGCAAAACTCTTCTTGGCATTTTGTCAGAAATATTTAGCTTTTCTGATAATATGGACATATTGAGCCAGTAGCATTACTCCTCCCCCTTTTTCCTGCTTTGAACATGGATGAGATGTCTGGAGCTCTGTCAGCCATCTTGCAACCACGAGGAAAGGTTAAGAGAATCCCAGAGATGCATCCTTAACCCCCCTGGACCACGGACCCAATGCCAGAAACTATCTACTTCTAGATAACTTGTTATGTTGAAGGAAGGAAGGAAGGAAGGAAGGAAGGAAGGAAGGAAGGAAGGAAGGAAGGAAGGAGGAAGGAGGGAGGAAGGGAGGGAGGGATACATTTAGATCACAAAAGCCCTCCAACTTCAATAAACTGCTGACTGTTGGAGTCATTTCTCACCTCTGAGCAAATGACTCACAAATCTGCATCTTCATCCTAGGTATGTTCTCTGAGTTCTAAACTCTTATATGCAACTCTAAGACTGTTGGCGTTCGTGAAACTCTTTCTAACTGATATGATGGTATGCTGTAAAGAAGTATTAAGTCCCACCAATTTCCCGTCCCACTGTGCTAATATCTCTGAGTGAGGAACCTCAAACTGAAGACCATCTCCGTCAGCAGAGGAGTGCTGTCACCTCTCTCATTTTAGTGTGTGTGTGTATAGGATCGTATCCAAGAGCAGGCTTGCTTTTCTGGCAGTCTCATAAAAGTCTCTTGAACTGACTGCCAGCTCAGGGTCCAGCATCCTTGCCTCGCAGTGTAAGGTTTACGCAGCAGTGATCCTTACAGCAGGAGCTGTAGGCCATTTGACTGATAAACGGTGGCTCACGGAGGCTAATTTATTTTGAGGTCACAAAAGTCATAAGAGTTCCTTCAACCCTTCTGTCCTCTGAGAACTCTCTTCAGGCAGATCCAGGGGGCCCCTGTGCGCCCGTGTTTGCAGGGGTGGATGCCTGGTGGGAACTGGGCCCATTGCATTATCCCTCTGGGATGCTTTCCGGATTGAACAGCGGCTCTGATTTTTTAGAATTTACTCCCATGGATGTGGTATGAAAATGCCAAGTCCAAATACTATTTCAGACACCTGTTAATTTCCAGGGCTGGTGTGCACAGGTTACCAGAGGTGAGCATGAGAATCCCTCCTGCAGAGACCGATGTGCCCCGCTTGCGCTGTGCTCACCCCTCCCCTCCCCCAGCCCTGGGCCCGCCCCTCTGTGGCTGAGGTCCTCGGGCCTGTATTTCTGTCTCCTGTGTTTATCCCTTCACATCCGACATAATATTGTCCCTTCCTCCCTGAAGGAACTGTGTTCTACCACATCTCTTATCATGGAGAAAGAAATTAAAATTTCTTTCCTAAGTGATACACACGGATTCTATGTATCTATCTGCAGTAAGATCTACAAAGAGACAGCAATGGGAGAAAAACACTCTTCATTCTGAGGTAGGGGAAGATTTCACAAACAGACTGCAAGCTATCGGAATTGATTATATTTTTCCTCCAGTGGTTATTGAGGGGTGGGGGTTGGGGTGGGGGTTAAAGACAGTTTTCATGAAAGGCAGAATTCAAGCATTAGAAGGAAAGATTTTAGGGCAAGGGGCTCATCGGCATCAAAGGGGCAACACGCAGGGGTTGGCGTTCTCTGTATGCCTGGGGTTAGCCTTGAGCATTTTTGATTTATGCAATAACTTGGGTGGATTTGTACTTTCGTTCCTGAAGAGTGCAGTAAACTTTTTCTTCCGAGAAAAGAATATGGTAGAGTGACATGTTTCAGATCACAAGAGCCCTCCAACTTCAATTTTAATTAACTGAAAGAATCTGACATTTTCTTTCCTTTATATTTTTTCCCGTTTGGTTTTGAACTTTTGAAGAATAATGATTCTTCTCTGTCCCTGGAATACTTTTGGAAAAACAAAATAGTTAAGGTAATTTCCATAAAGACCTCTATTCATGGCAGCAACCCCACTGATAATTAAACCCTCTCAGAGAGATGGGTATGGAATTCAACTAAAATCTTGTTTCTCCACGGGAACTATTTAAACATCTACCATATTGCCGACTGTCACTTGGGACTAAGAAAATTTTAGAATATAAGGGGAAGATCGAAGAGACTCCTTGGAAGCAAATAAAACAGCCTATTAGGGCAAAATGATCATACAAGGAATCCCTGTGGGTTTTGCATTAAGCATACTTTATAGAAAATACAGATTGAGGCAATTAGTCTGTTCCAGTTTTACACAAGCAGTAGCAATGGGAAGTGTGCCCAAGGGGTGATTAAGGATTGAACAGCAGTGTGGGAACTCGATCAGAAACTCCAAAGTTTTGTTGCCAGCACCTGATGTTTTTATATCAGCACCTTCTCCTTGATTGTGAAAGGCAGGGACCTTTCTCCTGGACCCCACCCCTCAGCCCACGAACTGCTCAAGGGAAAGTGAGGAAGAGGGGGATCCTGTCTCCACCAGCTCCGAGTAGGAAACGCAGGCAAGACAGGCAGCATGCTCACTTCCAACCTTTCTGGCAAGCTTGAGTGGCAGCAAAATCCATTGCCAATTCTATTTTTTAATACATATTGAAAAAGGGTTTTGTCTACACATGCAAAGAGAAGTGCATAGTGCGCTGTGTCGATTTAAGGGAGAAAGCACTTGGGGAAAGATCAGCCTGGAACTAAGAACCCTAGTGTGATCCCAAGTCAAGGGGAGTCCATCTCAGAGAAGCAGGCTTGGAAGGAGCCTTTAAGCTCAAGTCTTAGATCAGGACAAACCTGCTGTAAACAGGAAACAGCTGGGGCGAGCTGAGGCACCCCGGAAGTCTCCAGGCTGTGGAGGGGGCACTGGCCTGGTGGTGGCAAAAGACCAGGTTCCGAGAGTCCCGCTAGTTGCCCTGGCCTTAACGGGCTTCCATTATGCACAATCATGCACACAAGTTCCAGGGCCCCCTCCGTGTCCTCGGGCACCCCATACACTCCCTGTCTCAGAGCCCAGCCGGATACTGTGACCTAAGTGAGGACATCTCTTCCCTCAAGTTCCCGTATCTCGGGTCTCAGCTCCTCGGAGTCCTTCCCAGACGTCTCTCTGAGTGAGGTCCTCCCTGGCACCCTCCCCGCACACTGTCTGTGCCCTTCACAGCACGCCACATGCCTTTAATTCCAAGCCTTTTTATTTGTTCATCTGTTCATTATGTTTCTGCCATCCGTTTCTAAGTCCCAGGAGGGCACGTCTGACTGTTCAGTGCGGATTCCAGCACCGCGCACAGGGCGGGCACAGAGTAGGTGTTCAATAAGCGTTTGCCAAGCAAACAAAGGAAGGGGTGAAACTCCCAACTACCGTCTGGGCAACGTCGTTGGAAGAAAAATTCAATACACCCATGGAGTGAGGAGTTATTCAGGGCCTTCGGAAAGAGGTTAATTCCATTTTAAAAACATCCTTGGAAAATAATCCCAGGAGAAAAAGAAACATAAGTGAGTTGGTTGGTGGTATCTCCTGGAAATGTCTCGAAGAGCCCTCCCCCCGGCCGTGCAGGCTGTGGGAATGCTGCCCCTTCCAAAGTCCGGCTCTGCCCGCGCATTTCCAACAGGTTTCTGATGGTGAGAGTGCTGGGAGGGTACCAGGAGAGGTGGGTTTTCAATTATCCCGAGATGACATCTATGGATTTCAAAGGGCTGTCATGGCAAGGTGGACATCTTGGCCACCTTGCTAGTCCTGGGCATTAAGAAATGACTAGGAATTCTGGATATCTACTAACATTTCTAGTAAAAATGTGGGAGGAGCATGTAAAAGGTTTTGGCCAGGCTGAGGTTTTCTTATAACAGTAAATTTCATTTATTTAGGATATCCCTAAGCCTCTAAGACTGGGAGTATCTGAATCACAGACCCACCTTCAGGTGGAGACGGGGGGCTCGTGACCAGGACTGGCCATGGCTGCCTGACCTGGAGGTGACCCTGCAAGTTGCAGCGCTGACCCCGAGCTTCAGGGCTGTGGGCGGGGCCATAGGATTGATTTGAGCACAACGCACACCTACTCCTTAGAAAGTTGGCCAAACGTCCAGACTGGGGAGAACTACGGTGCATCACACTGGTAAGGGAGCAAGAGGACACCTCTTTCATCCCCAGTACCTTAGGTGGGCGGAACCCACTTAGAATTCATTCATTCGTTCTTTCATTCACTTAATTATCCGCATTCAAGATTATATCTGCGTGAGTGTGTGTAGTGACTAAAACGTAGCAGTTGCCGCTTTGCACAGCAGTGCGGGACCATAAAAATTACCTTGCAAGCGAAACTGTGCAAAGTGAACATCATAATCAATGGGAAAAATTATGACTGGTCCTTGACCTTTAAAAACTCTCTTCCTTACCAGTTATCTAGGGAAATGAAAAAATAGCAAAACTATTATTTATTCAATGTGCTATAATTTAAAACATAAGAAACACTGAGAATTAGTGTAAACGACTTACCAAGAGGCATTCGAATAGCGCTTGTCTTCTCATCATATCACAATAGGAACAAGCATCCTTCCTATGCCTTGGCAAATTATCATACTCCTTTCCAAATCTGGATCACCTTCTAACAACGTGTCCTTTGTTCTCTCTCTGTCAATGCCAAGTGTCTGCAAGAGTTCATTCCATGTGAAAAGGTTTGCCAGAATCACTTCTCCCAGGACACCATCATCATCCTTACTGGCATGGCCACTTTGCTAACTTACGTCAATCAATTTGCCTTCACTAAGATCCTCCAGAAGCACGTCTAGAGGGTATCCAGTGGGAAAGGTGTGAGCATTCCATGGTCAGCTATTTCTTCTGTAACTCCATTCACATTTGATTTGAATTTGACTTCCAAACTAATCACTTCCCATTTCTTTGCTGCACTTTCATCTTTTCTGGCTAATTCTCTCTTTTGATGATCTATGTTTGTAAAATGTTACACAGACTTATCCCTGGGACACGAGGAGGCAGAGCCATGACTGCCTGTGCTGTCTGGGGACCGAATAACAGATGTGCAGGGACCAACCACCAGGAGACTTTGGAAGAGGTGACATAATTTGTTACCGATCATGATACGAATCTGTTCTTTTATCAAGTGACTGGTGGACTGAAGAGAGAGCAGTGAGGTTTATACTTTATGCAGCTACTCACAGCTCATTACCACAGTTGCTGAAGTTTGAACTGTGTTGTTGAAGGACGGGTGTCATGTAACTAAATGTGGAAACTGAAATTCACGCATTCTAGAACTACGCAAAAGGGGACCAGGGATAACTAGAGAATGTCACTGGGGGCACATCATAGAGCTTCTTACCCAGTGTGTGGAGTCAGAGGTTTCTTGGAGAGGGAGAACTTGATAAATGAAAGGGAATTAGTCTGATGAAGGAGGAATGTAGGGAAAATTGTTCTAGGCAGAGGTCAGAGTACGCATACTCCCGAAATGTAAGAAAGTGCATGGGGTGTGGGGTGTCAGCCATGGTTGTTTCATGCAGATTGTGGGTGATAATCTTATTCTGTTTTCTTGGCTGCTTCCAGCCCCACAGGCTGTTGCTCTGAGTTACCAGGCAGCACTGGCTGTGGTGGTTGGAAACCTCAAATGCCCTGCTTTGAGACAGTCTCCTCCTCCTCCAGACCAACAACCCCACCTCGGGCAGCTGGGAACGTCACCAGGAAAACGGAACAAAGGCAAACAAAATGCAGTCAGACGCCAGTCTGTATACATGACAGAGGAAACACTGGTGATTCAGGTACAAATGCTCTAAGTACAGGATGGCATAAAGCAGGAAGAAAATCCCTTTCATAAGCCACAGAAGGTTGGTTCAAATCTTTAAATGATAAACCACATTTCTAGTCAAGCCAAATACAGAGTACAGTATCTTATTCTCTTTGGCTAAAATCTGAATGGTTACTATGAGCCACGAGCCCAGGCAATGCGCTGAAACGAATCTCACTTAATTTCCACAACACCCTTAGGAGTCTCCCCCATTTCACAGAGGAGGAGACTGAGGTTAAGTCAAAGAAAGTCACAGAGCTGGGATTCCAACCTAGGACTTATTCTAAGGCCTGTGCCTTTAGCTCCCACTCCACCAGTGTATTTCATCATAATTAGTGAAAATAAACACAAATGTCAAATTGAGAGATTATTTTGTATAAGATAAACAGACTGAGATAATGCTGGTTAAAGAATAGGGCAAGAATGTTCTATCCTTGTGGAAACATTGAGACACAGAGGATGCTCCAGAGCAGCAGTTTTAAGAAAAGTTAAGTGAAATTGACTGGCATCCCAGGCATGAGCAATGCATTCAAGATTCTATTAGGAAAGCAAAACAATGAAATTATCTCAATTATTGAGTTAACAAGGAGATTTCACCATCTACATTCAGGCCATGAGTAAGACATTTATTTGAATTAGATAAGAAGATATAATGTCATTTGAAGGAGGCCCCGTAAATTTAATAACAGAGATAAATGAAACTGACAATGATCTCACACTTTATAAATCTAAACATGGGACAAAGGTTAGACACAGGGACCCTAGTGGTTGATGGATCAGCTTGAAGGCTGCTTCTTAAACTGCCTACTGGAGACTGGACATGATTTTTATGTTTCCTTCACCTAACCAAGGAGATTAAGAAAGAATTAATTCCCTGTAAACCAAAGTACAGGAGCAAGAAACAACCTTGAACCTTCCCTATTCAAACAGCAGCTCTGTCGGTAATTTAATCACTAACTGAGTTGTGCAACCTGCCTGTGACAAATGGTAAAATACCTACAATTTGGAAATCTGCCAGATGATTCCTTTGGAGGCCGGGGAAAGGAAGCCCGAGCCGGCTCACCCCCACATTCTGCCCCCCTGGCTCTTGCTCCTTGCCCTCAATTGTTGAAATCGCTTCTGTATTAGGATAGAAATGGGAACAGTCTGGACCTAGCAAGAGAGTGAAGTCACTGAAACATTTTAGGATGCTCGGCTTCCCCGCCTTCCCTTCCCCACTCCCGTTTTGTACTACTTGGCAGCAGGTAGCCCCCTACCAGGCACATCATCGATGCTCCCCCAAATTTAAGGGTTAGCAAGGAGCAAGTCTGAGGACCTGCCTGATCTGGCCTCTTCCCCACTGTTCAGCCTCGTCTCACGCCTCTTTCTCCCTTGCTTGCTCCAGTGTTTAGTTTTAGATGCAGACCCCTTGAATAGTAGCGATCCGGGCCGCCCTTCTCTTTCCTAATAACCCAGATTCATTCTTCAGTCTCAGTTTAGGCTCCATTTTACCGTGGAAGCTTTCCTAGGCCATCTGAACCATTCAGATCTCCTTGCCACGAGCTTCCATAGCTCCCCGTGCTTCCCGCACTAACTATGTCTCTGTCTTCTCTGCGACACCAGGGGGCCTTGGGGACAGGTGCAATGTCCTCTTTGTCCCCAGTGTATTCCAACATCCAGGACAATGCCTGGCAGGGCACCTGCCCTTAATCAGTGTTTACAGAATGGATGTTTGCCTTCTTCATTTTCTTTTGAAGAAGGTATTATAAAATATTTAAGACATATGTAAATGTGTAAAGAAAAATATCACAACACCCAGATATCAATACAGATACAAGGTTAAGTCTCTGTTTCCTGCTTCGTGATCATATTCTGCTCTAGAGGCAATTAGCTGTCTGAATTTGGTGACTATTAGTTCCATACATTTCTTAATACCTTTACTACATGCGCGTGCAAACCATAGAATCATTTCATGTGTTTTTGTAGGTTAAGTGCTTATATGTATCGTTCTGCCACCGCCATCCTCCAAGTCTCTGTGCATCATTCATGCTGTTGCCTCTAGTGAGAAGGGACTTATTTTCACTTTTGTGTCATATTCCATTGTATGACTAACCCCCCTATTAGTCTGTTTTCATGTTGGGGGATTATTTTCTACATTTTTGCTATTACAAAATGCCATGAATATCCTTGCACTCAGAATGCTTTTCTTTTTTTAAATAACATTGTAGTTGTCAATATACTGGATCTTTTCATTATTCATCGGTCAAAACTGACCTGTACTAGGTCTTTGAAAGCCATAGGAGAGACAGGTAATTGGATAACCCAATTTACACTTGTGTGAAAATGTGTATCTGTGGATTTATGAAAGGCACTGCAGAATGGTGACAAGGACACTGATGTGACAGGCCAGCAGAGGCGGATTCCAGGACCCGCTCACTTGCTGGCTAGTTGTGCTATATCGGGGGTAAAAGCTTCAGTTTTCATTCTGTAAAATTGGAATAATAGTATCTTATCTGTCTACTTCACAAAGTTGTCACGAGACTCAAATGAAATACTGTTGCTGAAAAAATGTTGAAACCTGTTGTATTATGCGATGTTGGAACATCAACAATGAAATTTTATTGCCCAAGTGTAATATGGCAAAAGAGTTGTTATAAAACAATGCAACAAAAATAAAAAACAATTTATCACCCCCTATATTTAAACTTGTTCTCACGTACAATTAATTATCCCCTATCTAATTTAACTGGGGTGTTCTACAAATAATATCTTGCTCCCAAAAGACAGACTGGAAAAATCAGGCTCTTGAGAAAAATATGTTCACATTCATGGGCTTCCACTGTCTAAGTCCTATTGAGGAGGTTGGTGAAATGAGTGGAACTGGCTCCAGAAAGGTATTCATTGCAAATATTCTGTCTTCATGCTCCCATGTCCATTGAGGTAAGAGTCGTAATGGTTAAAACAAAGGTTTTAGGGTACAAAAGACCTGGGTTCAATTCTTGGCTCTACTTTCAGTATGTGGCTCAAAACCAGGCTTAGGTGAAAGTTCCCAACAGGTGAGGGAAGCTTGCCAGGCATTCATTTCTCTTATGGGCCCTCAGTCACCTCAGTGTCACTTCTCTTGACTTGCTTAAAGTGTTAGTGCGGCCCTTCTGTCAGGACCCTCAGGACCCTCAGCTGTCGTATCTGCCAACACTTCCGCGTCCCTCACCAAGCAGCCACGGTCTGCTCCGTGCACAGAGTCGCCCCATCGCCATGGAAGTTTTGGATGTGCCACATGCTTTAATCCTCAAAGAACTGACTACTGGTTTGCAAACAGAAAGGGAAGCCTCATTAATTCGTCTCATTAATTAGCAAGGAACTAATAAAGGGAGAGTTTCAAATCAGTTAATAAGGCCCAGTTTTAATCATGCACTTGTGCTGTCATGCAAACGCTAGTAACAGGTAAGGCTAAAACCCAGTGTCAGAACCCTGGGTTCCTGCAGAATTTTTGCTCTCCATTTCAGCTTGACCAGACTCCTTCTGTTTTCCTGCTATGGTCATAGTGAGCCGAGGAATAGATTTACCTTGGGCATTTGCACACTGATGTCTGCATTTCAGGAACTGGTTTACACAAGCACACATTTTCCGCTGTACATCACGTTTTCTCTTTATACACCCTGCAAAGGTCCCTCCGTGACTAGTAAGGAGGCGAAAGAGCAGGTAGGAGGGAAGACAGAACAATGTCTTTTCTATTCTAGTGCTCTGGGGAGACTTCTGGAGGGTATATGCCTGGAAAATGGGGGTGGCCACGAGCAGACGGAACTCCGCTCTCAGGGGTCTCTGCTGCTCTGTGTCCTTCACTTGCTTGCTCAGAGAGGGTTAAGGTCCTGCTACCAGGCACAGCGGCGGCAGCCTCCTGGGTTCAAATCCTAGTTCCGCTATTTGCCGGCTCTGTGATCTTATGCACGTTCTTTAATCGCTCTTTATCTTAATTTCCTCATCTGTAAAACAGAGATAATAATAGTGCCTGTCTCAGAGGGTCATTGTTGGGGTTAAATAAATTAATTATCTATGTTTATATCTATATTATTTGTATCACCTCTACATATTATCTCTATCTACATATCTTTAAATAGTGGCTGGGGATTGTAAGAGTTCAACTGATATTAGCTGTTAGTATTACTCCCTGCTAGAAACTGTGTTGATACTAAAAAATTGTAGTCCTGTAAATCTTAAAGACAGAACTCTGATAAATGTATCAATTCATCAGGGTTAATAATAGGCTTTTTATTTTTGAAATTAACAAAGGCATTGAGGTTACAATCTTGTCGGCCATGACAAGTAGCTCCAACTCGGAAGGCTGATTGATGCCTGGAACTGGTTTGGGAGACACAGAAACCAAACTATATTTAATGGTAAAGAAAATAAATGCTATTATATATCTGCTAAATAACCCATCCTTTCCAAATGGAAAATATCAGTCATTTCAGTCTGCCACTGCATTCAACCAATGCCATTGGAGCATCACAAATGGGACATAATATGAAAGTATACACACAATGTACTGTTCTAAATTCAAAGAGTGCCTTTCTCTTACATGGCTATTCCCTGAAATTTTCCAGAGAGATGATGCATAGAATGAGGTGGTTAGTAAGCTAAAAATGAGCAAAAGTAAAACAGAGGAAGGGCTACAAGAGATGACAGAGGTGAAGGGAAACCATTAAATATTATAGGTAACAGGTGTAGAGGGAAATTATAAAAAAAAATCACATTCGCTCTCTTACTTTAGAGGAAGACTAAACTATTGTGGTTTGGAGTTCACAGATAAAAATCGTAAAGAAACTAAATAAACAGTTGTCCATAGATGGAAAACTTACATTTGCTTAACAGCCCATTGTTTAGCAATGCTCCAAAGAAAATTACTTTTGTGTAACGTAAATTCCTCACACTACAGCCAAAGTTGACCTAAAGATGCTGTTGCAGGTACAGGAAAAAAACGCCACAACGCTAGGATTCCTGGGGAATGTGTTGGTTTTACTGTTGCTGTTTTTGCTGTTCTATTTAGTGTGGACTAAGAAGAAAATTTATTTCAAGCTTCTAATTCACAGACTGCTTTTGGGGGGAGTGGGTAAGGGAAGGCTTGGAAATACAGTAGAGGGGAAATATTTTAATCTTTGAACAATTCAGGGATCTCCAGGACTACAAAGGTGATTAGGAGGAAGATGATTGCGACCGGCAGGTCCCGGAGGTAGGGAAAGTGAGGAGAACCGGCCTCAATCTTCATTCCTGCCACATCTGTCTTGGAAGTAGTGCTTTTTACGGGAGGGGAGGGGCAGTAAGATGCTCAGTATCAGAGCCTTTCTTCAGGAGCTAAGAAAATGAAAAGAGAAAATGCAGTTCTAGTAGATTTGAGGGTTGTGACACTAGTTCTGATTCAGAACTAATGTCACATTAGTGACACAATTTGCATGTCTTAAAATTCACCCCTGTAAAGTACAATTCAGTGGTTTTTTGTATATTCACAGAGTTGAGCGACCATCACCACAATTTTAGAGCATGGTCATCACCCTAAAAAGAAACCCCATATCCATGAGCAGCCACGCCCCATCCCTGTCCCAACCTCAGGCAACCACAAAGGTACTTTCTATCTCTATGGATTTGCCAGTTCTGGATGGTTCACATAAATGCAATCATACAAAATGGGGTCTTTCGTGATCTGCCTCTTTCCCTTTGCATAAAGTTTTCAAGTTTTTCCGGTGTTGTAGGACACTCCAGCACTTCTTTTGTTGATGTGTAATATGCCTTTACATGGATATGATATATTTTGTTTATTCATCAGCTGATAGACATTTACTTCCACTTTTTTGGCATGACGAATAATGCTTCTGCGAATGTTTGTGTACCAGTTTTTACGTAGACACCTTTTCATTTCTCTCAGGTAGATACCTTGGAGTGCCATTGTTGGGTCATTTGGTAACTTTGCTGACCATTTCGAGGAACTGCCAGACTGTTTTCCAAAGTGGCTGCACTATTTTACATTCCCACCAGCAACGTCCCAATCTCCATATCCTTGTCCAACACTTGTTATTATCTTTTTTTTTTTTATCATGGCCATCCTAGTGAGTGTGAAGTGGCATCTCATTGGGATTTTGATTTTCTTGATCCTGATGACTAATGATTTTGAGCATATGCTAATTGGCCACTTGCATATCTTCTTTGGAGAAATGTCTAAATCCTTTGCCCATCTTAATACTGGGCTATTTGTTTTTTATTGTTCAGTTGTAAAAGGTCTTCATGTATTCTGGGTATAAGTCCCTTATCAAATATACATGATATGTAAGTATTTTCTTCTATGCTTGAGGGTTGTTTTTTTTTTGGTTTCTTGAGTGTCCTTTGAGGCATACCATTTAAAATTTTGACGTTCAATTTGTTTACTTTTTTGATTGCTTGCACTTTAGGCGCCCTATGTAAGAAACTGTTGCCTATTCCAATACCACAAAGATTTCCACTTACATCTTCTTCTAAGAGTTTTATAGTGCTAGCTCTTATGTTTAAGTCTATGAACCATCTTGAGTAATTTTATGTGCGATGTAAAGGAGGGGCCAACTTTATTCTATTGCATGTGTATATCCAGTTTTTCTAGAATCACTTAGTGACAAGACTATTCTTTCTTCATTAGTTCAAATTCTTCAAAAATTATAGCCATAATTCAGCCATAAAAAGAAAAGAAATCCTACCATTTGCAACAACATGGATCTAGAGATTATTATGCTCAGTGAAATAAGCCAGGTGGGGAAAGACAAATACCATATGATTTCACTTATTTGTAGAATATAAAAACAAAGCAAAACAGAAGAAACAAAACAGCGTCAGACTCATAGACACTGAGAAGTGACCAGTGGTTACCAAGGTTGGAGGGGGAGGGGTGGGGACTGGGAGGGAGAAGGGGGGGATAAAAAGGCTCAATAATCTGCAATCACAATATAAATTGATCACAGGGACTGTTGAACCACTGTGATGTACATCTGAAACCAACATAAGGTTGTATATTAATGATACTTCAGTAAAAAAATAAAAAATAATTTAGCTAAATATTAAAAAATCAACTATAAAACCTATCTCTGTGATACAGAAAATTAATTTTATGGATTTTTTTCCCCTCTCTAGTGCATTGTTTGGCTTTGGGCCAAACAGTGGATGCATTCATCCACTTGTTTCATTCCTTTTTCAGTGATGTGTTGAATGTGTATTGAGCAGCCCTGGGCACACTGTGGGGTGGATTTAACTTAACCTGAGGCTAGTTCCCCTCTTGGTAGAGAATGACACAAGGATGTGTAAGACAAGGGACGAGGGCAGTAGATGGTCGATTCCATAGCTTCTGGCATTTTTGGTCATTCTTCGCTTCCAGTATTTCTTAATGTTTCATGGTCTTCAAACTTGCTGTTCCCCTCTAGGTGAAATGCTTTTCCCCTTTCTCCGCCCCCGGTTAACTCCTACTCACTTCAGCCCTCAACTGAACCATCATTGCTTACTCAGGGAAGATTTCCTGATCCTCTAGATGGATTTCTTCTGTTGACCAATGCGCAAGACCCTCTACTTCAACTGGGTGGTACTTTCCATAATGGTAAGGTAATGATT